GTTTGATCGATTGGTTGGTTGGTTGATTGATTTGGTCTAGCCCTCGTAAAAGGTACTTAGGAAATTGTATTGGTGCCCGTTTCTCCACCCCAGACCCTCCAGGTTGCTGGTTAGTGGAAGCTGGCACCTCATTCAACCACTCAGCCTGCCTTTCAGAACTCACCTGAGCCCTGGGAAGCCTGTGTCCACTAGGAGCTTGGCTGTTGCAGGGCGCAGGCTGTTCCCTCCCTACGCCAGGGCCCTCTCCCCACTAACACCCACTGGAGCATTTGTAGCCACTTTTGTTTAGGATTGTCACGTCACCTGCAGAGTCCTCCTGGCTCTCATGTGCCAGAGGTCTCTGCAGATGTGCATGTGTTGTGGTGTTTAAAAAGCTCTAATTACCATCTGTCCCGATGCCACAAGGCTGCATTTCTGGGGAGCCCCCAAGAGCCCCCTGTGCATTTGGGGGAGACCTTCCTCCTCATGTGGGCTCCTTAACAGGAGGCAAGCAAGGAACTTAGAGCCCTGGCTGAATCCTTCACGAGAGAGAGAGAGAGAGAGAGAGAGAGAGAGAGAGAGAGAGAGAGAGGCGAGCAGATGGTTGGGCTGGAATTTCCTGGGGAAAATGCAAATATGCAGCAAAGAATTCTTCAGTTTCTGGGGGGTTGCTACTGTAAGCTCCTTGTACAGGGAGGGGAAAAAATAGTTTCCTATCAACCAAGAAGCATTCTATTTATCACCATAGACCAGAATAGAACATGTGGCCTGCACTGGCAGTTCGGTTTGCTACTTTTAAGGAATTCAGTTTTGTCGTGAAGCCCAGATGGAGATGTTGATTTGATTCTGGCTCCTTCTCTGTGCACCATTTCCACTCTACTCTCTTCTTTCATCTGTACAGGCCATCTGTTGCCTTCTTGCTGCAGAGAAGAGGGGGCTGGGAAAGGCTGAGACGTGCGGTCAGTCTCCCGCTCTGCCTCCTCCTGGCTGTGTCAGTGACCTTGGGTGGGTCTCTTTTCCCCTCGGAGCCTCAGTATCCCCATCTGTAACATAGTGTTCATAGTAAGCTTCCTGCCCTCGATGGGTACTTGGCCAAGATCGAACGTTATAATCTGTGGAAATGCCTTGTCAATTATGAATCACACTCCACATGTTGGCTGTTACTCTTCCAGCAGCTGGAGTGGGGCTTTGTGACATGTGGGGGCTTGATAATAATATTAATGATGAAAAGATGGATGCTGTCTTTTATTCAGTGGTTCCTGAGGTCAGGCACTGCCCTGAGCACTTGACATATATTATGTATTGTTTATTTCCTCCCCCTAAATTCCATCGAGGCAGGTGCCGAGTCTTCTCGTGGTACTGCAGAGGGAACGGAGCGTGGAGAGGTGGAGTGGGTCACACGAGGTCCCGCCGTGGTCAGTGCGGTGGCAGAACCTGGACCAGCTCCATGGACCTGTGTGGAACCAGGAACCACCGCTTCCTCCCCAGAGAAGGTGGCAGGGCCCTGCCTGTTGTCTCTGCTCCTTTGTCACTGCCTTTGGAGATTCTGTCCCCCACATGTTGGTCCCCCTGGGGAATTAAACTCTTAGAGGTGGTAACATGTGTGCCCCTTCTCCAGGCCTTTACTGGATTCCCGGAGCTGAGCGGGGACACTGGTATCATGGGCGTGGATCGGGCACATGGCGCTGAGGCTGAGGGCGTCAGTGGGCCACACTCTTGGACTCTTACTCCTTGTCGATGGAGCTCCTGAGAGGTTGTCCTGGCAGAAAGAAAGCTTGCAACGAATGCCGACTTTCGAGGAGGGATGGGATGGAACATTTGTTCCCAGAACTTTGGCTTTTTCCTCGCATATTTTGTAGAGCTTTTTTTTCCTTAACATCTTATCTTTCTGCCAAATCAGAGTCTGCCTTCTCAAAAGTTATGGCACCATGTTTTTGAACAATCGAGCTCTTCCCAGACCTTGGTCAGGCTCTTTCAGAAGAGGCTGTTTTTGGAGGTCTGCTGGCCCTGACCTTCCTACCCACAGCAGTGGGAGAGATGCCAAGGTGACATCAGGCTGATGTCAGACACACCCAGGTCCTCTGGGTCAACCTTTCTCCTCCAACTTTTCTGAACATTTTGGTTTAGTGACTTCCTTGACCTGAAGCGGACACTTAATTTTGTGACTTTTCAGCTTACGTGAAAAATGAAAGACACTCCCTGTGGGCATCACCCAAGACTGTGATGGAGAGAGGATTGCCCTTGGCTGGGCCCAGGGCACCCCTGGAATTTTTGGAAGATTTAAGGTTTGCTTGATAAACAGCCTTTTTTTTGGTGATTATAAAACGTTCTGAAATGATTTCATTAATTGGCACTATCCACTAGATGTTTTTGGTATTTCAGCTTGCTTTATAAAGTCCAAACTAAGCATCTTTCTCCACAGACCTGCCCCTCCTCTTGTTTTTGTCTGTTTGGTCATTCATTCATTCATTCATTCATTCGTCACAGTCTGTTATGTACCAGATTCTGGAGAGAGAGCAGTGAGCATAGCCAGTTGCAGTTCCTGACCCCATGAACAGACCAACATGTGTTACACATGTGTGATAATGCTGCACAGGACAGGTGTGTGTGGCACCTGAGTGGAGGCTGCTGGTGCCTACCCAGGACCTCTTTTCCCTCAGGGGCTCCCATCCCCCAGCTACTGGGTGTTGGCTATGACTGCTCACAGCTTCTCTGGAAGCCTTGCCCTTGGAAGGCTCCATCTCCTCCTCCCCACTTGATCAGTCTGTAGCCAGAGGCTAACCTGTAGTAGAAAAGGTGACCCCTTGTCTCAAGGTGGGGACAACACTGTATGCAGTTCCTACTCCAGTGCTCCCCATGGGATCCCGCTGAGTCAGACTCTGATTGAGAACACAGCCTAGCTTAGCTCCTTCCTCTCCCCATCCTACTTCTTCCCTCCCTTTCTCCTTTTGCCCTCCCTCAATACATCATGTGTACTGAACCCCTGCATCAGGCTCTGCATGGAGGCAACTTGCCTAAAGACAGGTGTTATCAGAACTCATCAAAGGAGGCACTGATTTATGTAAGGAGTTGAGGAAGGCCATCTCAAGGAGGGGATGGCAGAGCTGAGATTTGGGGGATCAGTAGGAGTTAATTAGATGGAGACTGAATGGAAGGGTCCTCCAGGAGAAGGAACAACACATGCCAAGTTCTAGTGGGGAGAAAACGTGAACTGAAGGCTGAAAGGAGGCCAGTGTTTCTAGAGCAGAGGGGGAGGGAGCACAGTGTGAGAGAAAACTGGGGGGGGCGGGTCAGTGGGGCATGAGCAGGAGGCTTCCTAGGCTCTGATAAGAAGTCCCTCCAGGGGCTGGCCCCGTGGCCAAGTGGTTAAGTTCGCGCGCTCCGGTGCAGGCAGCCCAGTGTTTCATTGGTTTGAATCCTGGGCACGGACATGGCACTGCTCATCAAACCACGCTGAGGCAGCATCCCACATGCCACAACTAGAAGGACCCACAACGAAGAATGTACAACTATGTACTGGGGGGCTTTGGGGAGAAAAAGGAAAAAAGAAAAATCTTAAAAAAAAAAAAAAAAAAAAGAAGTCCCTCCAATTGGTGGGAGCATCATCACCCAGCAGGTACCCAGCCAGGGCCTTGGAGAGAGTTAGGTGGGAGGAGCTCGGCGTGGTGGGAAATCTGTCTCTGGGGTCCAAAGTCCAGAGTGCCTGCTCCGTCTCATTGACAGACGTGGTGTCGTTCTCTGGGCCCCAGTGAGGGTCAAAGGTACCGTCACAGGGCGTTTTGTAGTCCCGGAACGGTAAGGACCTGCCAGTATACATTGTTTTATTAGGGTGTTTCTTTCCCTGGCTATTCACAGTAACACGCTTCCTTCCCTTCAGCCATGAGCATCTGACAAGGACCGTCACCGGGGACCGGGGAGGCAGAGGGTGGAGACGGCTGCGTTGCAGGAGAAGATGGTCAGGTGCTCGCTGTCCTGGGGTGACTTGGACATACCTGGAAGTCAAAGCATTTCTCTCTCTTTTTAGGTAAAAATAGCAACAGAAAAGGCGTGAGAAGCAAGAGCTCTGAGAAGGCTGCCAGTGATGATCACAGCATCCCCGTGGCCCGTGATGATGTCAGAGAGGGTGAGTGAGGCCCTGCGGACAGCCTCCTGCCCTGGATCTGTCTGCCATCCGGGGAGGACACGGGCCCCCGCTGCAGCAGCCGGTTGCAGGTTCCCCAGCTTGGGCTGCCTGGGGCCTGCTGCCTCTTCTGCACCATCCGTATGGGGTGGAGCCATGCACAGACGCTCTCTCGCCCACGGTGCACAGTAACACACAGCCACACTTTCCTGACTGGCTCTGCTTAAGTCCTTTCTGAGTGTCCCGGAGCTCTTGGCTCCCTTCCCTGCCCTTCTCCTCCTCCCCGAAGGCATCATTTCCTTTTTTGTAGTGCCACATAGCTGCCCTCAGCCTTGGGCGTGCATTTCTTAGCTCCCAACTGAACCAGGGGCCTCTGGGGTCAGAGATGAAGTCTTCTACTTCCAAAGCCTGAGATGCTAGGCCTGGCGTCTAACTGTCCTGTAAGAATAGTGGTCCTTCAATAACTTGCCTTTGGATGGTTGAAGCCGTTAGTTCTAGACTCATGGGCGGACTCTGGCCCACTAGCTGTAGCTATTGGCTGTTACTAACTATTACCATTATTATTATTGTATCTCTCATTACTCTAAACTATGGTATTTAGGATCACATTTCTGCTAATGTTAGTAATGTCACCATTTATTAAGCACTTAAGTTTCAGTGTTTGCCAGGCACTGGACTTCATATTTGACGTCTCCCGATGCCCTTCTGAGTATTGTGGGTATTATTATGATTATTATTACCGGTAAGGAAAATGAGACTCGGTATCATAGGTCATTTGTCTATGGTTATGCAGTTTGTAAGTGGCAAAACAGGGATTCGAGCCCAAGATTTTCTGATTCTAGATTTTCTGTTTAGCAGTATAGCTGCTTAAAATCAACAGAATGTTTCACAAATGTCCATTTACAGAGGCAGAATCCGTTTCAGCTGCCATGTGAGCCCGTAAACCGTGTAACAGAGTTGATTGTCACAAAGGGCGTCACATGTTCCCTTAGGCATGGTGTAATGATTTGGGCTGTGTTTCTAATCAAGAATTCACCATCAAAGAAATCGTAGATACGACTAACAGTGCATCCTAAAGTAAAAACAGCCGTCCAACAGCAATGACTTTCTGCGATCACTTAACAAAGGAGAATTGCATTCCATTTTCGCTGCACTGTAATTTCATGTCCTGGACCCGTTGCCATCAGGAGGACCCTGCGTATCGGGTGGGTGATCTGAGGACACAGTGCGACGCTGGGGCTGTGTTTCTGCCGGGTCCCCCTGATAGTGTGGTCCTTTGGGGTTTTGACTAAATGGGTGGTCATGACACTCCCCGCTGTGGATGGGCCTTGGCCATGACTTTTTGTTCCCTTGCTCCAGCAGGCTGATAAAACCCCTGCTGTTCCTTCGGGATGGCAAATGCCAGCAGGCTAAAGCAGCTTCGATTGCTGGCCTCACCTCGCTGGGTTCTTGCTGCCGTCAGATCTGGCCTGGGAGTTCTTCACTTCTTGCAAATTCTTAAGTGCTTTGAAACATATTTAAAAAAATATTTTGTCCAGATTTTTTTAGTAGGTTCAGCACAAGGGGTGGTTTGAATTATATTAGTTCTTCATTACCAGAATTGGAAGTTATTAAAATTTTGGAGGATATTTTCAGAAAGAGTTTTCAAGCGCCGTTTCCATGCACACACGTGTGTACATGCATGCACACACATGCACAGTGAAGTCTGAACTTGCCTCCTTTCTGCCACATGTACACTCCCCCCACCCCATGCTGGCCCCTGACCTTGGCCTTGGGGCTCTGTCTGAACAGCTTGGGATGGCTGATCTCAAAAGCAGCCGTTATGGCTCTGAGTCCCTGAGCATCCTAGACGTGGTTTTGGTCTGTGACACTACTTTACGTTGCTCTTCTGTTAAAATACAGTTGAAGAGTTGAGGGCAACGACCTTGGAGGGCAGAGAAGCTGTGGGGGCCCCTGATGTGCAAATGCATGAGGGAGAGAGGTGAGGAAGGGAGGTGCTGTGCCTGAGGTGGTGGCATCGCAGTTAGGAACACAGGCCTGTGGGGTAGTGCTGGGCAGAACGGGGCCTCCGATGTACAGCTGGGCATGCTCAGGACCCTGCGTCCATCCTCCTCTCAGCGTCTCCTCAGGTCGCACTAAGGGGCCTTGCTGGAGATGTGGCAGAATGGAGTCAGGGTGGCAGGTGGAACAGATGTCACCTACATCATGCACAAGGTGGCAGGTGGAGCAGATGTCACCTACGTCGTGTGCAAGGTGGCAGGTGGAGCAGATGTCACCTACGTCGTGTGCAAGGTGGCAGGTGGAGCAGATGTCACCTGCATCATGTGCAAGGTGGCAGGTGGAGCAGATGTCACCTACATCATGCACAAGGTGGCAGGTGGAGCAGATGTCACCTACGTCGTGTGCAAGGTGGCAGGTGGAACAGATGTCACGTACATCGTGTGCAAGGTGGCAGGTGGAGCAGATGTCACCTGCATCATGTGCAAGGTGGCAGGTGGAACAGATGTCACCTACATCATGCGCAAGGTGGCAGGTGGAACAGATGTCACCTGCATCGTTTTCCAGGTGGTGAGCAGTACAGATATTAACCACAACCAGTTTCGTGAGTGGATGGCATCAAAGGGCTTGTGTCAGATGTGGACTTCACCCTGGGGAACTTCCCCTCTGAGGGAGAGAGTATGTCCATGGCTGTCACTATGACTAAGGAGCAGCGTCAGCTGTGGCAAATACCCCAACTTCATCTTGGATGTTGTTCCATTACAATATCTGTGTTTGGTTGAATTATTGGTCTGGTTCTTCATCACTCCCCATCTCCACCCCTTTTGCTGTGTGACTTTTCAGTTCCTGTCACAAAAGGTGAAAACCACTTGACTTTGGGCTGGTCCTTGTGCCTTGTTGAAGCCAATAGACTGAGGTGGAGTGACAGGTGCCAGTTGTGAGAGGAGGCTAAAGAGGCTTTGCTTGTGTCCATTTGCTTCTTGCCCCTCTGGCATCTCCACAAGAAGAATGGACGAGCCTAGGCCACTGCTCCTGGGGGCCGAGAGATGAGTGGAGCACGTATGGGCCCAACCTGTAGCCCAGAGCCTGCCGGTGAGCCCAGCTCATCTGTAGATGCCTAAGAAGTGAATGCTTCTTGTGTGCCACTAAGAGTTTGTGAGTGGTTGTTACACAGCAGTAGCTGACTAATACAGTGAAGATAAGGAAGATCCTCATTTTTTTAAAAGATTCCATGGCATTCCCTTGAAGGGATGTTCCATAATTTATTTAACCACCTAATGATGGACATATTTTGTTACTATAAACAATGTTGCAGTGAAATTGCCATACACCCATGTCATTTACCATGCCTTGGTTACAGAATAATTCCCTACTTAGCATTCAGAGCCCACTAGGATTTGACTCATTTCTGGCCTCTGCTCCCCTTTTTTTCGGGCCAGACAAGGGCTTGTCCCTATGCATGTCTTGTGCTGCAAGCCCAGCTCACGGATTTCCTCCATTGGGAACTGGACAGCATCTAAGTCGGTGATCAAGGGCACAGCGTTGGCGTCAGGCTCTGCTCTCACTGGCTGTGAGGCTCTGTGCAAAGTACTAACTTCTCTCTGACTCAGTTTCCTCCCCTGTGAGGTGGGGTAATGTCTCCTCTGCAGGGTTACTGTGGAGATGGAAGAGGGTCTGCAGAATAGCACACTCTGCACACAGTGAGCTGTCAGCAGACATTAGCTATGATTTTTATTTGCTATCTTGGGATTTTTTTGTGTCTTAGTTGCAGGAGTTGGCAGACATTTTTGAAGGATCAGATTGTAAAAATTATATGCCAAGAAGCAAAGGATATTATGTAGGTTCTTAAATAACCATTTAAAGTGTAACCATTAGAAAAATATAAAAACCATTTTTATCTCATGGGCCGTAGGAACACAGGGGCTGGGCTGGATTTGGCCCTCACACGGGCTCTAGCTTGCCAACTCCTGCTTTGGAACTTCAGGGTTTTGCAAATGCTGCCTCCAGGAAGCCTGCCCTGATCACCTCTCTTTCGATTTCCTCTACCTCTTCCTCATAGTCCTGGTCCCCTCCTCTCTCACATCACAGGGATTCCTATGCATGGCTCTTCTGCTCTGGGAGGCTGTGAGTACTTAAAAGTAGGATCCCTGTCTGGTTCTCAGGATATTCCCAGTATTGGCGGCAGCACTTGAAAAAAATGCCAAATTCTTTTATTGAGCACCTGCCTGCGCCAGAATGAGTGTTCTGGGGCACAGAACGGGTGTTCCGTGTGTGTTCAAGTGGGTTCTCCATAACCCGGAACAGCAGGGCTGGCCCTCCACAGGAAGTGGTCTTTGGCTTCGGTTCTCCGAGCAAGATCTATGGGAAAGAAACATGATCTCCCGCCCACACGGGATGCACTTTGGTGAATGGGTGCTCCTGGTGCTTCTCCCTCATGCCTGGGCTGGATGAGACTTGAGATCTGAGGCCTCACCCAGGTACCATGCTTGGGGGTTGAGGTGCCCAATGTGTGTGTGTGTTTTAAACGTGAGGACTGTCCATCATGTTGCAGACAGTTTGGTTTTCATCCAAGCCCTTGTTGTGAGCCTGTCCCCATTGTGGGGCAGCCAGGTGGTGCTCTGGGGCTCCTCTCTGGTCTTCCCCCAGACTTCTGGGGCAGCCGCTGAGGGCCGTGGAGTAGATCCCAGACTCCTGACCCTGGAGGAGGGGTGGCTGACATGGTCTCGCTGCCGGGCAGACGCTGTGGTGAATGGTCACATCTGAATTTCAGACGCCTCTGGAATGAGAGGGGAGGCGAAGGGCCAGAGTAGGGAAAGGGCTACGCTGTCTAGGACAAACCTTGGTTAGGAAGCCTGAGAAATGTGGGCGCTGGACGACCAAGGGCTCCCCCACTCCGTGCTCTTTTCTCTATCTCAAACGTGCCTTCAACAGTATTCTTTAGTCTTTAAAATGAAACATGCCTTTCTAGCCTTCCTTTACAATTTGGAGAGACTTACTCTGTCCCT